ATCGACTCCAAGTGAGCGATGAATTAACGCACCAATCTGCAATTCACTCTTGCCAAAGATCTTCACTTTCTCCTTGAGACTGGGAATTTTATCCTTACACAAAAAACAATCTCCTTCGGCCGAGGTAACTTTTTTCGGCGTTTCCCCACTCATGGGTGCATAATGCCACTTCCGAAGCAGTTGTCGGTCCTCGCGATTTCCCGCGTGTCTTCAATAACATCTTTCTATCACTCAATTTCATTGGTCGAGTAAAGAAGAAAAGAAATGACGTCACGGAAATCGTTTTGGAGCTCGAGATCGCAGACGCTATTTTTCGGAGGGAGACAAACGACGACCGGAAATGCGTCTGCTGTTCGCAGGCTAACATACATACAGCTGTATTTTAAAATCGCCCTTTGGGTCACACCGCGATTAACAAACTCAGATTAAGATTTTTTTGGTCAGTTCGATCTGTTTTTTTTGTCTTAGTTTCAAGCTCAAGCTTGAAAGCTACACCAAACTATACCAAGAAAAATGTTTCAGGGTCTAATGCATATCAAACCGTCACTATACATGCTATGTGATGTTAATAAACACTGAAATGATTTTGTTCGAAAAAAAGGGTGTTTGGCCAAGTCAGTTTTACAGAAGAAAAATTCAAGATCGAAATTTAGAGAAAAGATTGACTTGACTTAAGAAATACTTGTGATGTAAATACTATATCAGTAAATCATGTCAAGATAAAGCTAAAGTTTCAACTTAAGTAGGGAATGAAGTTTCAAAAGAAAGCTTATGTGAGAGTGCAGGGAATCGTGGTTTTCGCTCTTAGCTAAGTGTAAGCACAGTAAAACGTTTTATATCCTGACACATTGAGATAATGAAACCGCCTATATACATTGGTTTCTTTTCTCTTGATCCACTTGTCCATGTCTTCAGATAGGTTCGAATCCTATTAGGGATTAAAATATTATTGTTGTTGCCGATATTCAATATATTGCCAAGTTTATGCCCAACAGTATAGAGCGGTTTCCTGTTGAGAAATTAAAACCAGTTAAAGTCTATACAGAGTTCAAGAGAATTATTCCCGAAATCAGAATAATTCTCGCGGCGAGCGAAGGGAGTTTATAATTTTGTCGCGCGGCGATCGCGCTAGGATCGTAAGCGGAGTGCGATTTCGCTTTGGTCATAATTCTTTCTTTCTGTCGATTTGGTATCCGCAGTTGCCTAGCAACAAACCATAAACAAACTCCAAAAAACGCCATTCAGCATGACGTCATCGTGTATTTTAGGTTTCCGGACGACGCAATTGGTTAGCCACCGACTAGGGCTAACTTTATTCATGCTCTGTTTACGGTATGTTGGCGAATCACTCGGCAAATCACAGAGTATTTCTCGGGCAAATAACAGCGGGCTGCAAACACAACAGTGCCCGATTCGACGAGTGGCTGGAAAACCTTGCCGTGGAAGATATAAAACCGAAAGAACGGCGACCTGAACTTCAGTGAGAGCATCGAAGAAAAAGACAAGTGCGTTCATCGAGCGGCTGTTATAAAGCCCGAGAGTGAATAAAAGAGGAATAATGCGAAATGGCTTTGAAATACTCGTTTAAGCTATTTTTCCTCAATTGTTTCTTTGAATTCATGATAAAGACAGCGCCACAAGGTTCAAACAGTGTGAATGGCAGAGAAAAATACTTTAAGATTATTATTAAGGTTCGAATTGCGCAATGGTCGCATGGCCCAGGAAGTTGGGGTGCAGGTTCAAATTCCGGCGGGGCTACTTGCATTTTTTTTCGCTTTTTTTTCCCTTTCATCGTATTTTTACCTTTTGGCTTGTTTCCGTTTATTCTCATTGCTGACCCTCTTTAGCTTCGCGAGATTTTTGCGATAACGTATTTCTAGAATAATAATATTCAAATTCAGACAAATCACTGAGTTGTCCAGCTCAAGTAGCTTATTCCCCTCAAAGGATATTTTAAAAAGTAAGCTAAAAAACGAAGGCTCCAAAATCGGAAGTTTTGCTTTCTCGAACTATTAAAAGGTAGCTCGAATTTATTTAGCTTTTGCTTGTTTGAGAAGCCTAATAAAAATGCCAACCTTAATTGAGTTATAAACTATGAAAAGTGCCGGAGAGTGTTAGTATAAAAGTGACAACATTGAATGAATAATCTGAAAGCTAAAGAATATCCCTAAATTTAAGGACAGGGCCAACTGGTCACGCGACACTGTTCAACCAATGGCGCGCTTGTGTTTATCAAAACATCGAACCAGTGATCAAAAATTTTTTCACAATGGTGGACGAAGGCGGACAGATTTTAACATACGCTTACAGGATTACAATACTCGTCTACGTTTCACATTATTTCAAAGAAACTGTTTGATGTAAGAGAATAAGAGTATTATTCATTGCAAGTAATCGTTGGACCGATCGCAAATTTCGTCGCTTCACCGGCATGGTTTGCAAGATATATAAAAGATAGAAGCAAACTGGTCCAGTGTAAAAATAGCCGTAGAGAGTGTGT